TTCATATTCTCCAATGGGACACCTCCATAGCCCAGAGTCATCAATCATGCTCTCCAGTTAGAATTTTGCCCGGCAGAAACTCCTTACTATCTTTGAAAACATTTATGGAATGCAGTTTCATTTTGCAATCTGCCGCATTGCTCCCCCCTCCCTTTCTGTTGGCAACTCTAAAAAGACCAGAGAAATAGTTTATGAGCGGGGGGGGGGGGGGGGGACCGCGCAAAATTTTTTTTTTTATTTTTCTGTAACAAAGCGACAAATGGAACGCATGTACAGATAGTCCTTGAGTTACAACTGCGTAACAACCTATGCAAAGTTGAAAAAAATGCTTTACAAACCGGTCCTCGGGATTAATGACTCTCACGGTGTGCCCGCAGTCATGGGATCAAAATTTGGTAACAATAGGTAACCGGCATGTATTTATGACAGTCGCAACGTCCTGGGGTTGGAGTCCCATGGTCACCATTCCTGACCTTCACAACCAGTTTTGGACAAGCGAAACCAGTGGTGGCGGCAGCTGGATCCCTTTATAATGCCCATGCAATTCACTTAATGCCTGTGCAAAAATGTTGTTAAATTAGGCACGGCACATTTAAATACCGGTGGCTTAGCAATTGAACTTTCGATCCCAGTTTTGGTCAGAAGTCAAGGATTAGTTGAAAATACTTTGCTAATATACTATTAGTATGTAAAGAAAAAAAAGGGTGGAATGTATTGTCATAAATTTCCAAGAAATATGATTGAAATTGCCTTCTTGAAATGAGGTGGTGTCAGCAAAATAAAATATGGCTTTATTGCAAAAAGCTTTTATACTTGTGGCTTGGTCTTGTGCCAGCTAGCTAGATGCAACTCCTTTTACTAAATCACCTAAGTGTGCAAAGTTAATCTTTTGCAATAAAAACTGGGTCAGGTCATCTGCGAGAATTTATTCTACATCAAGTCTTTCTCAGAGACTTTGACAATTCTTTTTTTCTACCTGTTTATTTATATATTTTCCCATTACATTACATAAGTGCTTAGCGAACAGCATATTTATTGTCTGGATCATTTTATTTATAGATAGTAATGCTTTTCCCACTCAAATTTGCCCGTTCTATGCCTGTTCTATGAGAGGTGTGTATGTAAAGAGACCTAAGGAACTATAATTACGTATCAAGTCGTTATACTTTAATATAGATAAACCAGAATATCTGGAGTTAAATTTCCCTTGGCTAGCTAAATGAAATTATTTAAAAGTTTTTAAAAAGCACCTTCTCTAGCAGTTTTAGTTCACACATCTTTTAAGGGGTCAAAGTTTGTAAAACACCGCTCCATGGGAATAGCTTAAGCTAATTCTGAATATTCTTATTGGTCCCTATTTTTCTTTCCTAAAGGCAGGCAGCCTAATTCAGTCAGTCCATACTTGAATGGTTTTACAAACTTTAAAACATGCTAGGTTACGTAGTCCTGGACTTACAATTGGTCGTGTATATATTCTCCTGCTTGAGCAGTGGGCTGGACTAGAAGACCTCCAAGGTGCCTTCCAGCTCATTCTATTCTAAGTTCTAAGAAAGTTTAGTTCAAATCTGCTCTCCTTCCCACATCTACTGCCCTCTTTGCCAGAGCTACAGCACCCCCTTCTGGCAGCTGATAGGATTGCACACAACCAGGGTCAGACTGCATTTTCTCACTGACTCTGTCCAGCCAAAGAGAAAAATGGCTTCAGAGCTGTGTTTCTCAAACAGGACCACTTTAAGGCTTGTGGACTTCAACTCCCAGAATTCCCCAGCCAGCATGCTAATAAAATGTCACTATGCTCAGTTTCCCACCCCCAAGATAAGCCGGGATCAATAGGGGTTGCCACCAGCCGCAGATAATGTGAGAACAAAATGTGACACAAAATGTGACACTACAATGTCCTGGAGGTGACAAGATTAATTCTATTTCTAAAGTTTAAATAGCTTCAAAAGGTGCTTGAATTCACTGCCAAATCAAATCAACAATTTTTTGCTGCAAAAGTCTGCAAAATTTGTTTTTTTAAACGTTTCCTTTTAAAGGTGGAACAAATGTACTTTTTAAAAGAAGCAACTTTCCATAAGTAAGAAATGTGCTTTTTCCAACACCAGCTTTGAATGCTATAGCATCCAGACTATTTTTGGAAAGATATGGCTCTGTGCTACATTTTATTCTGTGTGAGAATTGAGGCAGTTGGCATCTCCAAGTAACTCTTCTCAATGTCTTCGTGAGGCAAAAGCCTGAAATTTGTGCTACCAATAGAAAAGAATATTTGCGGCTCAGGGTTGAACTGTGGGATCCTCGGTGCTCTTTGAGCTTGGTGGTTTCCTTGCAGACGTTTCATCACCCAGTTATTTAACACCATCAGTGCTAGCGGGTGTAGGGTTTTGCTCCCTGTTTATGTACTAGCGGCCTTTGTCAGGTCAGTGTTGGTAGGAGCGTCCTAGGTCACCAACCTTTTGGACCTCAGGGACCACCAAATTCATCATTTTAAATCCCGCGGACCAGAGACCCTGGGAAAATCCCCCCAATAATCTGCAGGAAAATTCCCCACTCTGTTTTCCTACCAATCGATTGTTCTTCATTTGGGATTGCAGGATACCGTCTCCAGCTCCGTTCTTGGCGGGAGAGAGAGGGAGAGACTTTTGGCTTCATGCAAGGAAAGCAGCAGAAGCTGCAGAAGTCTTTCTTTCTCTTCCCCCAAATGCCACCAGAAATGAGTCATTGTGAGACTTGTCGTGCCAGTGCAGCCTCTTGGAAATAGGAGGCCTTGCAGGGTCCCAAAGACTCACTTCTGGCGGAGTTTGGGGGAGAGAAAGAAAGACTTTTGGTGCTTTCCTTGCGTGCAGCCAAAAGCAGAAGAAGAAAGAAGTGGAAAGAAGCAGCCCGGTGGCCAGGCCAGGCGCGGCGGGGGGGGGGGGGGAAAATGGGGCAGGTCCCCCCCCTTCCCTCCTCCCCACACTACCTCGTGTTGTTTGCAATTCAAGCGATGCAAGCCTTGTGTTCCCGCAGGCCATGTGGGTGGTGCAGCCTTGTGTTCCTGCGCAGCCTGGAATAGTTGCTTTAGGGGGTGCATTGGGGGTGATATTTCTCTGGACCACCAGTGGTCCCCAGCCCACTGTTTGGTGACCACTGTTCTAGGTGGCTCCTTGGTTTACAGTTAGATTTGCAACCAATGCAACTGAGTTTCTAGTTTTCTGCAGTTTTTTTTTTGCACCTGGAGGAATTTTCCCCTTCAGAAGCTGCAGTGAATATTTTGGAAGGGAGAGTGTGTGTGTGTGTGGGTGGGGGGTGTAATTTCCCTTGTTTTGGGGGTTATTTCTGAAATCTTGACCAGGGGATGGGTAGCTGCTCAGATTTGAAGGCCTGTTTTGGGGTCAGAGGGCTTAGGAGCCTCACCGCCAGGGGAACCTATCACAAAGCTGTTAAGAGTGAGCAGGTACCGCACACACACACACACACCAGATACTAAAGTCCGTCTTTCCTTTTGCTTGCAGCTCAAGATCTGGATCTATCCAGAGGGAACAAGGAACATGAATGGGGACCTTCTGCCATTCAAGAAGGGGGCTTTTCATCTGGCCATCCAGACTCAGGTGAGGGATGCTTCTTTGCAGAGTGATTTGCCTTCCATGGATTGAAATGGGATTGTTTATAACTATGATTATTCATGTCTTCTTCTTCTTCTTCTTCTTCTTCTTCTTCTTCTTCTTCTTCTTC